GCAAACAGGAGAAGGTGATGGACTCACGCATACCGGTCCTGAAGACCAGGGCTAATATTCCCAGCTCGTACAGATTACCCATGTCGCCACAGTCCTACAGTGAAGCTGTGCAAAGTCAGCCAAGTGGATGTGGCTCCACCCCTGTTAACACGACTAGGTTAACAGATCCGAGTGGGAAAATTGCACTAAGTGAGAACTTCATAACACCCATCCCCATGGTAGACCATGAAACAAATAGGAAGGCCAAAAAGAAACGTTCACGACGTCGCAAGACGACAAGAACGCTCCCCAAGAAGACAGACGACTGCAAGGTCTGTGCTTCTGTTGTCGAACAAGCAGACTCTGCTTTCGAATGTAACTTTTGCAACCGATGGGTGCATTGCAGATGCGACAGTGGGGTACCAAAAGCATATTATGACTTTATGCGTAAAAACCCATGCCAATGGTTCTGGTACATATGCCCGAGTTGCCGTCCTGATGTAGCCTCGCGTAGTCCTTTGAAAACTAAAGATGGCACAGAAGTAGCGGGGAAAAAGGTGAAAAGCTCGACCCCCACCAATCCGGAAGTTAGTACAAACGCGCGTAAACCGGGGATACCAAAATCCTCACCGGTTAAACTTGTAACTCTTGCCATAACCGCTCCAGACACAGAGGCTGGAGAACCACGGGTTTCCGTCGTTGGAAAAAGACCCCAACCGTCTATCAGTAATGCTGGCTATAGCACTGAGACACATAAAAATACCCAGTCGCACCAGTCAAACCAAAACGGTCTTAAAGGTGATCACAAACGTGCGAGGACCGAGCCCAAGCCCACGGTTAGCAGATCAAATTGTGTAATCCTCTTTAATGTACCAGACTGTAGCAGTAGTCTGCTGAAAGATAGGGCCCTATTTGATCAGGAACAGTGGTCCATCTTGAGTAGCACACTGGGTTTGGACATCCAACCAGTAAATCTATGCAGATTGTATAGGGGCACTGCTGCACCTGAAGGCAAACCATCCCCACTGAGGGTAACATTGGGCTCTACCGAGGATGTTGAAAAAGTGTTACTGGCTTCTCAAGTCCTTTCTATAGGGAGGGCCTGTAACATACGTGTTAAGCCAGACAGGCCGTGGAAGGAAAGACAAATGGCGAGGGAGTCGCCAGAGCTCATTCCTTCTGCCTCCATGGTTGTGCATGGCATTCCCGAACTGGTAACTGGGAACGCCTGCGAAAAGCATTGTCATGATGTACAACAATGGAGATGGTTAGCATCCCAGATGGCCCTGGGAAGTTCAGGGGCTGTCTCTATTTATAGACTGCCTCGACCCACTCATCTTATGTCAATTAACTCGCCACGTCTGTTAGCTGTCAAGTTCAGCTCCCAAGACCAGTTGAATACCGCTCTCCATAGATGGTACGAGACCAAGGACAAGGTCAGCAAACACATTCGCTGCTGCGAGAGCCGGCCTCGCACTCAAAGGAGAGAACAAAGCGTAGTAAAAGAAAATCCTCAACCCCTAGTCACACTACAGCGGTGCAGCACGGACGATGATAGCCAGTGTCATCCGAGTGCTCCAACTGAACTAGAAGAAAAAAACGCCAACAGGCCGGTTCCTGGGGAATCGGCCAACTAGTTCGTAGGATAACTCCTCAACCGATAGCCAATATCAAGTCAACTACCCCCCAATACGGGGAAGTGGTGAGACTGACTACCAGTTGCCTGTATAGTAATGTGAGAGGGCTAAGAGGCAAAATAGCTGAACTTAGACACCTACAATCACAACTAAACTCCAAAATCATAATACTGACGGAAACCTGGCTAACCCCTACGGTGGCAGACAGCGAAGTCAGTATAAATGATATGGTCCTAGTCAGGCGAGATAGGGACCTGAAAGAAGGAGGTGGAGTCGCCATATACGTCGACAAACAGCTCAGATGTGTTCACGCGACGGACCCTCCCCTCACAGAGCTCCCTGACTCCATATGGTGCCACTTCACCGTTGGGTACTGCAAATATCTAGTGGGCAGCATTTATCGATCACCTTCATGTGGAGCAGACCACAACCAGGTACTGCTAAATACAATCTCAGCAACTCAAGACATGGGTTATGATCAAATTGTCATAGCTGGTGACTTCAATGCCCCATCTCTTAACTTGGTGTCGGGAAAAGCCCATGATAGATTTGATCGAAATCTGCTGCATACCATCAGGAAGGCTGGATTCACTGAAAATGTCAAGATGGATACTAGATGGGGCCCTGATGGGAAGTCTTCTAGACTGGATTACGTGCTCACTAGTGACCAGCTACTAGTGGAAAACGTTCAGATCACGACTCCCATAGGTAGTAGTGACCACGCGGTCATAGTATTCGACATAGTCCTCCGCGAGCGCTTACAGTGGGACAATACACAGCCCTATCTGTGTTATAACAAAGCCAACTACACCAAAATGCGAAGACTTCTGTCTGAAGCAAACTGGCCTAAAAAATGGACAGAGCTAACAGTAGAAGAACACTGGAGAGTGGTAAAGGAGATCATTCACCAGGCGGTCTCAGACACTGTTCCTTTAGTCTCACCAAAAGCTAGGAAGCAACGATCATGGCTGAAAAGGGGGACACAACGCCTTCTGCAGGCAAAGCGAAAAGCCTGGTTCGCGTGGCGACGATCGAAGAGTCAACCCGAATATGAAGTGTACCTTGAACTCAGGAATCGATGTAACATACGAGTCCGGAGCGATAGAAGGACATTTCAGGGAGACCTCGCCAATAAGCTTCTCGTGAACCCCAAAAGCCTATACAGGTTTATGGCCGAAAGAAAACCGACCAACCAGGGAGCATGCAATCTAGTGGGTTCTGATGGGAAATCTCTTACTAGTCTTGAAATGGCAGAGACATTCAGCCTAGCCTTTCACAGGCAACTAAATAGTAACGAGGATATTACCCCTACAGAACATCCAGATTACATCGCAAAACCAACACACGAAAACCTGCTGGGGACATTTCAAATTACCCCGGCTATGGTACTTGCAAAATTGGGAAGGTTGGCTTCGGGAAAGTCTCCAGGTTGTGATGGCATCAGACCATCTGTCCTGAAGCAGTGTTCAGAAAGTCTCTGTCAACCCCTAAGTGATCTGTTCCAACACTCCCTTGATGTAGGGAAACTTCCATGTGAATGGAAACGTGCAATCCTATCCCCTATCTTCAAGGGTGGTGACCGGCAGAATGTGACCAGTTACAGACCAGTTGCTCTACTTCCAGTGGTATCGAAGATATTGGAAAGTCTCATTGACGACCACATGAGAAAATACTTCGATGGGACTAACCTTCTTCACGAAGCACAGCACGGTTTCAGGAGGGGAAGATCCTGCGTGACGAATCTTCTACTAGCCTGGAACGATTGGACACTATCCTGGGACAAAAAGGTACCAGCCCACGTGATCTTTCTCGACTTTGCGAAAGCATTCGACACAGTTCACCATGGTCTGCTCCTTCACAAAATAGGCAAGGCGGGAGTTTCTGGAGCACTTCTCGCATGGCTGACAGATTACTTAGGCGAGAGAGAATTCTGCACCAAAGTCAACCGCATCCGATCATCCTGGCACACCTCGGCATCAGGGGTTCCTCAGGGTTCTATCCTAGGGCCGTTGATGTTTTTGATTTTTATCAATGACCTGCCCCCCCAACTAAACTGCTCTGCGCTTCTTTACGCTGACGACGTAAAGATTTGGAGAGCAATAAACTCATCGGAAGACTCAGATAGATTGCAGGCTGACCTGCAAACTCTGGGAAATTGGGCTTTGGCTAACGGAATGCCTTTCAATCTAAAGAAGTGCAAAGTAGTGCAGCTTCATTCCGGCAGGTCACAGAGTGTAAATTACACCCTTGGTGGCCAGAACTTGAGTTGTGTTCCATCAGAGCGTGATCTAGGTCTTATTCTAACAGAAAAGCTAGACACCAGTGGAAATTACTCGAGGGACGTCGCCAAAGCCTACGCAACATTACACTTTATGCACAGGCAGCTGGGAGCTCTCACTCCCGAACTGTTCTTAAGGCTATACAAGGCATATGTGAGGCCACACCTTGAGGTGCATAATATCATTGCACCTCCGCTACTCAAAAGGGATGCTAACATTCTAGAAAGTGTCCAGAGACGAGCGACAAAATGGGTGATCGGCCTCCGCAACAAATCATATGAGGAAAGACTAAAGAAATTAGGTCTTTTCACACTTAGTTACCGTAGGCACAGGGGAGACCTCATCACCGTCTACAAGATCCTAAATGACCAGGCCCACCCAAATAAAAGCATCCTGCCATTAAGCGATTATAGGCTTCCACGAGGTAACCCGCTAAGGATAGCACACCAGAGACCAAAGACTCGAGTGCGATCACATTTCTTTTCGCTTCGTGTTTGCCGTCTCTGGAACGCTTTACCGGCGGCCGTGACTACAGCGCCATCTCTGGAGATTTTTAAGCGGAAGCTAGACAATCATGCAGAAATGCAAGGTTTGTGTCTCAATGGCTTATCCTCATAAAATTTGAAACCACACTGTCAATGGATAAGCGTACAAACTAAATCCCCACGACCTATTCTGCCTTCTCTCACTCTATCTTTTCCTTAGGTCACCTTTATTATTCCACTTATCTCAACCTATATTATCTACACTACAACCTATTATTATTATTATTATTATATTATTACTATTCTGCTTTTATGACTACACCGAATGACCAACGGGAGTTAGGTCAAACTCCATTCACGGCAGCAATACAGTCCTAACATACTGCATACTACAAACCACATCTCGACCAATCCCCGCACCACTCCTCCTGGAGTCTACCAGAGCTAAAGCAGTCGAGTGTCGGGACTTACTACGCAGAAGCTCACCGAAGATCTGGAACCTCTACCTCACAATCAAGAAGCGAGCTCAAAGAAATCACTGGTTTATACTAGCTCGTAATCAGGATATTGGATATTGGAGGATATTGGATATTACGATTAATACGTTGTCATGACGATTAGCGGCACGATTTTGAAACAATGGCCGACGCTGTGGATTTTTTGGAAAAGTGGCCTGCTCATGCTACTGGAAGATCCTATGCGAGATCTCAAGCTTCCATTGTAAACAGTAGAATTGTTTCACTATCAGAAGTCGAGACAAGTAAGCACTTTCGACCGATTTGAAAAATCATTGGTGAAGAAATTTCAAATCTGATTCCCAAACCTAAGTTCCTGGAAACCCTTGAAAAAAATATAGCAGATAGACTGAAAGACATACAGCCAGATGACAGAGACTCCAGATTTCAAGTTGGTTACAAACACAATGATTCTATGAGTACTGTAGATCTTCAAGGAAGCATTCCAGTCATTTATTTATTCTTTTAAAACCTACAAACATTTTCTCTCCAGTATATACCAAGAATACGAAGAGTTCCTCAATTTTTATAAGGCTGAGGCGCAAAAGTTAAGGCCAGTGAAAGTAAGAATTTAAATGACATTTTGTCAACTTAACACTGTCAATTTTAGGAGTATCTCTGGACGATTTCACAGGAATGTGATGAACGTATTCTTAAAATTCAAAAGAAAGAAAAACCAGGTATTTATTTAATCACATTAAAAAGACTTTATAAGAGATCAATAGCTTAAGACGTGAAATTGTACGACTTAGAGATTTGATTTCACAATTAAAAGGGGAGAAGTTGGGCCTAGAAACTCAGGTGAGAGACCAGTTCCCTGTTCCATATTTTCCCAAATTTTTCATAAATATTCAGATTTCTCTTTATTTATTCTGAAAACTACGAAAATATGACAATATTGGTGACACCTCTTTCCGATAAGGTAGTAAACATATAATAAATGTAGGAAGTATGCTTAAAAGTGATATCTCTTCGTATAAATTAGATGATAAGTAGAGTACTGAGCGTTTTCTCTTCTTTTTTCTAACTGAGACTATTCCGAATATCTGAATTCAATCTTCAGCTTATTATTATCATTATTATATTATTATTCCCCTGCATTCCAAGTAGAACATGAGGCTGCAAAAACACATCTCCAATTTTTTCTGTTTTCTGCTGTCCTCTTCAGCTGGGCCCACAATTAACCAAACTCTCTCATCTCTTCCTCACTCGATCTCCTCCATGTAACCCTACGATGGTCCACTCGTCGATTCCCACTTGGATTCACCTCGAGGGCCTGGAATGCTATGTCATTCGGCTACTTCCTCAATATATGCCCGATCCATCTCCGCTTTCTCCTACATATTTGTTGAGCGATCAGCTCTTGGTTGGTTTGTTCCCGTAGTTCCTTGTTGCTTATTCTTCCTAGCTAGCCATTTGATCTTCACTATGGAGCCAGCGAAGGTAGCTGCTGATGAAAGTCTGCAACCTGTTGGAAATCCTTTTTGTGACGCTTAGCGAAAGTTTATTACCCGAATAGAAGAGTCGACTTCACATTGGTGTTAAAAATCCGAATCTTGTTCCTTATGCTGAGTGCGGAATATTTCCAAACTGGTTTCAGGTTGATGAAGGTGTATCGTGCCTTTCCGATTTTGACTTTGACACCTTCCTCCGTTCCGTCTGTAGCTGAAATGATTTTTCTCAGGTAAGTGAAAGAAACAACCTTTGTTAAATCTCTCCCATTGATGGTGATTGGTGCTGGTTGTTGTTGCTGTTGATTGGTTATCTTCGCCACTTCCATCTTCTCTGTGTTCACTTGTAGTCCTGTTTTCGCTGCCTCTCCAGCCAGTTTGTTGGTTTTCACCTACCAGTCTTCGAGTGTGTGTGACATTAGACTTATATCTTCTGCGAAATTCAGGTCTTCTTGAGACTTCTTATCGACCTCCCAGCGTATTTCCGACTCCTTGCCCCCAACAGTCTGACATATAGTTCAGTTCCTCACAATTAAGAAAGTCATCGGTGATAACAGGTAGGCAGCCTTGTCTTACTCTTGTAAGCACTTTGAACGCCTCGCTGAGTTTTGCATTATGGATCACCTGACACGTGGCATTATCATAAAGCTGTTGAATGAAGTTGAAGTAGTTTTCAAATTACTTCTCGGTCTATACTGTCGAAGGCCTTATCGAAGTCAATGAAGTTCAGGTAGAGGTTTGACTGCCATTCTATACTTTGTTCTGTGATGACGATGCGTAGAATTGCAGTTTGGTCAGCGCAAAATTTGCCTTTCCTGAATCCAGCTTGTTGTGGCTGGCGGAGTTCTGTATCCAGTGCATCCTTTATTCTCTCCAGGATGGTACGACTTAGTATTTTACTTGGCGTGGACAAGAGCATTATTCCACGCCAGTTCTTCAACAGGCCTAGGTCGCACTTTTTTGGCAGTTTGAAGAGGTAGCCCTTCTTCTAATCAGTAAGCAGCTTTCCTTCTTTCCAAACGTTTTGCATTAATAGAGTGAGAACATCTGCCATAATCTCTGGAGCCTTCTTCAGTGCTTCGGGAGGAATGCCGTCTGGTCCTGCTGTCCTCCAAGCCGGATTTCAGTAGTTCGATCACATTCAGGCTTTCTTTTTTCGTTTGGGATTTGATGTCCACTGACACGCAGTTCCGTGCATGCTGTTGGTGGTATATCTTGGTGAGTTGCCAGTGATGGTAGATTCAAGAGTCCTTTAAAGTGATCAGCTCATTGTTTGATTTGTCCCTCCTTCTTGGTGATCAGGTTCTTTTGAGCATCTTTTATTGCTTCCACCATCTGGTTGACCTCTTCCCGGATAGAGACTTGGTTATCTGATGTGGTGTCCTGATGTCTCTTTTGCCTGTGGCCTCTTCTGTTTCAGTTGCCGCCAGCCAGTGTGTCGTAGAATTGTCGTTTGTCTTTTCTAGCACTTTTCTTCACTTCTTTATTCACTGTAGTGAACACCAAACTCAGCTTCTCTTTTTGTTGTCCATCTTTGCATTGAGTCATCTTCTTTTTCACCATCCTCCTCTCCTCTCTTCTATTAGCTTCCAGGTATCCGCTGACAGCCATTCCTTGTCTTGTCTCTTCCTTCTTCCTAGAACAGTTGTACACGTTTCCTTAAATACCGCTTTCAGGGAGTTCCAATGTTCTACCACACAGATTTCTTCAGTGATGTCACATAGTGTGTCCGACTTTGCTGATCTGTAGCGAAGGCAACCCTTATAGTTTTGTCTTTCAGTTTCTGAATGTTGAACTCGAATTATGGTATGTCTCCATTCGTTTTCATGGATTTCAGCTTCACCTTGAGGGTTCCTTGAACTAAATGATGGTCTGAGCCCGCATCTGCTCCCCTTCCCGATTTTGTATCCAGCAGGCTGCGTCTCCATTTCCTTGAGGAACATTAAGATGAAATCTATTTGTTTTGTGGTATGTCCGTAAGGCAAAATCCATGTTGCTTTGTGTATATCCTTGTGCTTGTATAGGCTCCCTCCGATCGCCAAATCGTCGAAAGAGCAGAAGTCTGCGAATAATTCTCCGTTCTCATTCATTTCTCCGATAGCCTCTCGACCCATGATGAATTCTCATCCTGTATTGTCTACTCCCAGTCTGGCATTCTTATCACCCATAAGGATCTTGATGTCACTACATGGGATTTTGTCCATTACTGTTTGTAATTTTCTGTGGAAATCCTCCTTCTTTTCTTGTTCCGCGTTGTTTGTAGGTGCGTAGCATTGGATAATTGTGAACTTCCTTATTTTGGAGTTGAATCTTGCTCTCATGATCCTGAATGGAATTGGTTCCCACTGCATTAGGGCTTTGGCTGCCAATGGTGACATCATGATAGCCACCCCCTCAGTGTGTTCGTGGCTGTCGTCTGGGTGATCCGAATAGATTACTGACTTTCTCGTTGACAATGTTGTCAATCCACATCCATTCCATCTGCCTTCGCAGACACCCAATGCTTCTGAGGCAAATCTTCGCATTTCTTTGGCTACCTGCGTAGCCTTCCCAGTCTCGTACATCGTACGGACATTCCACAAACTCATTCTTACTCTTGCTTTTATCGAGAAGAGGCACATCGGCTGACTGGCTTCCCGAAGGCTTTTCCCAGCCCGCTGTGACATTTCGCCTCTCCGATTCGAGCGGAGAATAAGATTGTTCTTATTTGAAGTTTTTGAATTTTTAAAATATTTTCTGTGTTTTGAAGTTTCTCTAGTGTTTTGGAAGATTTAGTGGTGTGGGACTGCTAACCCCACGTCCAACCTTCCCTCTTTAATTTGGCTTGGGACCGGCTATAAAAATAGCGAGCTAGTTAGCTAAGCGAGGTTAATCTTCAGCTTACTTCTTCCATTTTGAATGATGTCTTAGAACTGAGGGAGTATTTGACATCTACGCAAGGTACAATACCAAAGCAAGTTCTTATACCCAAAGAAATAACCTGCGAAGCGTATATAGCTGCGTTCTAGTCATATGATACCATATGAACAAAATGGATGGCTGAAGGTTCGCTAGTTATACTTTGGAATTCAGTGATCCTAAAGTGCTTAGTGCCATGCATATTTATTCGAAGAAGGTAATCAAGTGACATTTGTAAAGTGGGAGTGATGATTGTGGGTAAGACGTTCTGAAAGTGATCGCAGTGGTACAGACGTTTTCATAGCATATATATGACATAATTACATGCTAAGTTTTACATCCGCCTTACATTTCTTAATTTTTTCTTGCAGCATTTCAATACATTTACATTATTTCTACTTCTTTGTGTTTCTCCTAGTTACTTCCTGCTTATTAAGTACATTATAAAACATGGATTACTACAAGCTTAAAGTGTCATGTTGATAACGGCAAACTGAATTAATTTCCTTCATCACTGCTCCCAATTTTTCTTATAACTTTCTATAGCACCTTGTATTATTGCTTTAACTTAATATTTTGTCTCTGTCTTTAACCACATTCTTTTCTATTCATTTAAAGTCGCATAAAATGAATTCATAAGCAGTTATTCTAGGTCTTCCTTGGTATATACCTATCCGTTTGATATTATCAGTGAGCCACTTACAACTTTTCACTTCTATGTGCTTTTATTCTATTTCATTTAGTGATTTTGCCCCATTCCTCTCGTTTCAAGTAGAAAAAAGGTTTTGGCTTCAGGGTTTGAAGTTTCAGTAGCAGTCGTGTTGTATTTTTACAGGGTGAGGTTGCTAGCTTCACGCCTAACCTCCTCTCTTTTCCGGGCCCACTACTGACTAAGTGAGATTTAGGAGTACTTCAACCAAGAATCGAACCCAGAAACACCTGAATACTATGAAATAAATTGATGAAGTATGCTAAACATTTTAAGACTTTTCAATCCTTCAGGATACATACAACCATATTCCCTCAAACTAAATAGTTGTGGACGTTGAGGATCAGTTTTAGTTTAATTATACGTGATCAAAGTTTCAATGAACGTAATATTAAACTGATTTCACTTATGTTGCTTAGAATGGTTTAATTTCTAAATATTGTCATTTAGTCTGCGTCAACTGTGAAGGAAAAATGACTGAGGTAAATAATTTCAGATTATTACTGTGGTTATTATAATATAACTGAAAACTGATCCCGAAATGACTTCAATTAGAGAACTATTAGAAACCATTAATTACTGGTCAACCGTTTCATCCGAGTTTGGAACTACTCAGCAGTATGCGACAATCAAAGATCGGACCTCGAACCTTCAGGTTTCAAGGCAAGCTCATTAACTATTCACTCAGTGGGACGGGGTACAATAGCCAGTTATTTCCTACTTTTTCTGATTCATGCTATATAACGTGACCACCAGCCAGCATAATAGATTAATATTCGTCCTCTCACACAACTTGGCAGACTCCATTAGTTACACGTCGCAACCCAAAGATCGAAGTTCGATCCCTGATTGGGTTATGATGAAGACTTCCAAACGAGGTCGAGGCAGTTATCCAGAACTCCCTGGGTTGCAATGGATTTCTAACTGAAGCCAGTCTTTGATTAATTTTGTAATTGACAGAATTCCCGCAGACCAGATACTGAAAAAAATATTTGGTTATATTTTGGTTATTTTGGTTTAAGAAATCTTAGCACAATAAGTAATTTTATAATTTTGTCATATTTTAGAATCCTAATTTATGCTGTTTCAAAGTGTTGATATTTTCTAAAACCTCAATTAGTCTGTATTGAAAAAAATATGATCAGTGACAGAACACCATCATGATAGTTGGTACAGATTCTGATTTACGAGTAGATGTGATCTGTGTTCAGTAACTTGTAAATTGTACTGGCTGACTAAAAGGGTAGGTTTAAAAGTTCAAGTCATCACACTCCATACGGTACGAAAAGACAGATAAGAGAGAGAAAAAAGATATTCAAACGAACTATAATCAGCAGAAATGTACGTTAGAAACAATAATTACATGGAAAAACACCATCAGCATGGATCAAGGAGATTAAACATAGTGAATGCATCTGCGCCACTAAGAATGATTTTGACATATCACCAGTAGTCTTTATCAACTGGTCCTTATTGTCCTGAGGACCCCAACTAGGCGGGCAGCTTGCAACTAACAACTAACCTACTACTAAGACTGTGTGGATTGATCCTATGTTTTGGTTTGACTTCTTTTAACTCTTCTAACCTTATCCTTAGTCAGGGAGATTACAAAGAGTGAAAGCATCTGCGCCAGTGACTCATATATCACTAAACTTCTGCATATTCGCATTTGAATAATGTGCATTTCTTTCCATCAGATTATTTGGATTGTTCTCACAATTTGCCCTATTCATCCCAACTGCAGGTTGGACATTTAACTCAATCATTGAAAGAAGAACATGAAAAATTCCGATATGAAGCAGATGCAAAGCTTTTGTTAATTTCAGAAATTAATGCAATGAGAATGCAGTTTGATGAAATTGAAGTAATCACTAAACATGCACAAATTAAAACAAACGAGAATGACGATCCAGTTCTTTTGAAAATAGCTCTAGAGTGAGTATCACTAGTAATTTTATTTGTGCAGACATCTGTTACATTGCTAAATACACAGGAGTATTTCTTTAAAGGCCATATTTAATAATCATTAATAAATGGAGAGTTTTAAAACTATTCAGACTAAATAAGAAGTTCTCAGTATGTAACACAAAATATCACGGTGAAGTATCAGTTCATTTAATCCTGGAACATTAATAATGTAAACAACTGCCACAAACTCTGTAAAATAGCCGTTACCTTGTAGAAGAACGCATAGACTTTAATTTAATTTTAATTTTTTTTTTTTTTTTTTAATTTTTTTAATTTTTTAATTTAATAAAGTCATATCTCAAATGAGGAATAATCAGCAACTGTCATCAATACTATATTCTTATTTTCATCTTGGATTCTGAGTGGATTATAGGGCTTCAGCAACACATTTACATCTCAGCCTACTCTTTGCCGTCTTCTGTAGTTTATCCCACGACTTCTCACAAGATTTCATCTCCTTCTTACACGATCTTCCCCATATCATTCTTGGATGTCCAATGCTTTGTTTTCATTTCGCTTTCCACTTGTGGCTGTGGGTTGTGTTGTCATTTAACTGTATTCTCCCCGTGTGTCCAATCAATTATCTTCTGTATGTTTGTTGGGCGATAGGTTGTTGGTTGGTTTATTATAAGAGTTTCTTGTTGCTAATCCTTTCCAGCTGACCATATGGTGTTCACTATGGCACAAAGGAAGCATCTATTGATGGAGGTCTGAGAGGAGACCTGTAGGAAATGCTTTTCATGGTACTCCAGTTCTCTTAACCATATAGAAACACTGACTTGACCGTAATGTTAAAAGTCGAATCTTTTTCCTTCTACAAACCCTTAATGGCATCTTTGCGCCTAATTAATAGTATCCTTCTCATAATTAATGATAAAGGGATTGTCAGAGAATAATTCATATTCCCCTTTCTGGTTATTTTCTTCAGTATAATGTTAACGCCGACAAATGCTAAAACTCAAGAAGAGCATCATTTGTAATTATAAGCATATAAATTTAGAGTTACTTTGAAGTATTCATTAAAAAAGTGGTTATCATATCCGAAAATCGAAAAGACTGCGGTATTACCCCATTCATATTTCATGTATAATGGCAGGAAGCCGTTATCATGAATCCACACATACTACAACTGTGTATCGCTTCTAAATAATTTTGAAATAGTAACTTCAAGTGATCATTATCGAAGTTATATATGAATAATATAACATCATGCTCACTACAGTGGCTTCATGAAACCCGCACTTTTGTCATGCTAGATAATATGTTCTGATGGTTATGAGGGCATTTCATATCAATATTTAACAGTTAGCCATCACAACATAATAACTCATGCAGACTATAACATTCAGTAGGAAGATCTTTTTCACTATTATTATTATCCCTTTGTATACACATATTTCTACTTTATTGTTATAATTATCTGTAATAGTGCGTCGGTGGCACAGTGGTTGGAACTCTCGCTGACCATGCTCATGGTCCGGGGCTCGATCACTTGCCAACGCACACCCGATATCTGCAAAATTTGGGCTACCGATATCACAATGCTGAAAATGCCATACTTGTACCGAAAATACGGTGTAGCATCAAGCTGTAATCAAAATAAATCAATAAACAAATAGTATTTGTATTTCGCAATGACCTAATTACAGGAATCCAAACGAAACACAGAGAGGGATGAATTCAGGAATTTGTATTTGGTGGAATTATATTTCAATTCATATAAGAAATATATTAACAAACAACAGTAAGTATTTAAACAATACAAAGATAGAAATTGTCAATCACCATATTTATTTTCAAATCTTTCTTAAGACAAGCGAGAAAAGCACAATCAGTTTCCGAATTTGAATTAGTTCAATTAAAAGCAGAATATGTCAATGTTATGCCAAAAAACCGATATGATATGTTAATGGATGAAAATCTCCAACTAAAAAATGATTTTGAAGCCATAATGAAGGAATACGAAGGACTGAATGAATCATTTAAGTAAGATAATAATCATGATTATAAGTCACATTATTATTTTTTCATTTTGTCATATTTTTGCGTTCCGAGTGGAAAACATGACTTCATGCTTGAGGTGTGTAGTTTCAGTAGCAGTGGTGTTCTTCTTACAGAGTGGGGTTGCTAGCCTCATACCCAATCTTCCCACTTTACTGTGCTTACTACCGGCTAATGGAAGTTTGGGAATGTGTCTACCGGGAATCGAAACAGAATCACGTATATATATATATAGGATGACCGTGTCCATACTAAACTGAATAGTTTGACTTTAGCAAATTATATTAATTCAGCAAGTTTATTATGTTTTCAGACTTTTGAAAAACCAGTTAAATGAAGTAATGAAGCAACGCGATGAATCAGAATCCAAGATACAACAAATGCAAAAAGTATCAACACCCAGGTAAGTTTATATTTGATGAGATCTCAGTACACTTTGCTGAAACCCTTAAAACCTTATTACTAAAGTCGCGATAATGTCAAGTCTAATGCTCGCTAGGAAAGAAAATGTCCTAATGGCAATTAAACCAAACTAAAGTAAAACAACCACTGTTCCTTATGTCATAATCACATCAAAGCCTAGATTTTATACACTTTTTAAATGAACGATCAGTTATTTAGTGTTTATTACTTATCAACCAATTTTACTCGGCACTCTTTTCAGTTCTTTCTCTCTTTATATTTTTATGACGTATTTATACTTTGAAATGAAATGAAATTTTAGTTTGTCTACTTAAAGACCTATACAGCAAACGAGACTAGGAATTCGAATTAACTTCATGAAAAGTTTATTTCACCTAATCCTCAAAGGTTAGATACTTGATCTGCTTGATTTGGGAATCTATGTACTGAGAAAATTCACTTTTTTTTGCGGCAAGTGAATGCTAATTAGGCATTCCTAAAATATTATTAGCAAATTCTGTGAGGCCTTTTAGAAAGGAAAGATGGATTAACACCGATGAAATTCAGTGATGGAAGTGTTGGTTATCGGTTGTTAATCCTTTGTCTGAATTTTCATGTGGCCTATTACAGGTTGATTGAGTGAGAAAAAAGCGATTGCGAGGTGTTTCGCCACATAGTATAACAAACACCACAATAGGTATTCCAGCTGTGTTAAAAAAGCGGATAAAACGCTTTTCAAACCAACAAACGTAACATGTAACATGTCTTCATCATTCCTCTAAGAACGTAATACAAAATCAGGTAAGGATAGCTACAGGGGGAATTCAAATCGTAATTGATCGCCTCCATTCTACCCACTGAAGTAGGCAGAAACGAAAGAACGGCAAGTTTGTTTCTCTATAACTTATATACTCATACGGTTGGACTAACATTCCATTTTATATGTTTTTACTGCTGGAGAGTCTTAAATTAGAACAAATTTTTTACTCAACGCTCTTGAATTTCTAATAATTCTCTCAATAATGTCAATTAGTGACGTAAAGTATTCTGCAAGTAGGCGCTATTCTAAAAACCATATAAATAAGTGACTAAAAATCACAGACTATATTAAAAATAGTTGGTCATGAAAAAAGAATAGTTTGCACTAAATAGATAGAAGACTATTGATCTGAATACATGGCATCACTATGCTTAAGAAAAAGGTGACTGCTTCTTAGGAATGATAGATGTGACGACGAAAACCCAGGTTTTTCTGTTTGACAACAAGGGGCCATTCGATGCTTTCTTCTGTATGGCTTGCCAAACCTCCGCGAGTGATGTACACTCCAAATTATATTTCAACAATATAAAAGATTTTGAAAAATTTATTTCCCTATACGAATTTAAAACAAGCAGCAAAGGTTAACAAAACAGGATTTAATGAATTCATCTAATTTCGGTAGTATATATATAATGACTTATTCAAGTGTTGGTTTGTGGGAATTTGATCGGTTACAGGATTCATCATGAGCTGAAATTAGTTAGAGAACCATTGGAAAACCTGGGAGTACTGGACAGCTGTTTCGTCCTAGTTTGGGAGTCTTCAGCAGTACGCACCCACTGGGATGACTTATACGAAAAGAGTTTGGCAAACTTTGGAACAATGATATACAAGTGAGGAGGAAAGTGGCAATTACAAATTTAGTTGATATGTTCAAATAAGTATTAATATCGTCAACAGGTTGTGGTCGATCCATATGAACTCTGAAAAATTGTCATCTAAATTACATAATGGAAGTTTTGCTTTTAATAAAAATACGTCAAAACTCTGTCTAAATCAAGTTGCTATGACATCTGGGACTATCGTTGGCTGGCATTCTTATTTCATCCTTAATTAAAACTGTTATAATTACTATATTTCTTGCAGAATTTACTAAGAATTGAATTTCTCATTGAATCATCAATGAATAGCAACTTTCAGCATAACATAATACTATTTAGATTATGGATTTTTGCAGGGATTTGAATTAATTTCAATGTAGATGTCGTCACGAACCAAAATCAGAGAATCATTGGAAATGAGTTTCGTTCTAGTTTGCCACTACTCAACAACAGTGTGCGCTCACTGTTTGGCAGCTAGAATTTCACTTTAGAAATCACTCCAGTCTGAATATTCTTATGCCGAATAATAAATATTCTTCACTGAGTATTTGAATTTTTATTCTGCAACAGACCGGAATGGAATGAAGTTGGACGTAAATTACCTGGTGGTTTAACAAAATGGTTAGAAGAAACCGTTTCAATGACATCACAAGAGAAAATGCATTTCATGGTCAATCAGTTTACACTACAAAATAATGAAAACACTGAATTCAATCTAAATACATATATTAAGGTAAAAACAAACCACTTCAACAAAATCAGTATTCTATCCATAATCTTTTCTAACTATTATTCTTACTGTTATTTTTCACGTGTTAGTTTTTAGGGATTTGATTGGTGTTAAGCCTAATCACGGATAGATATCACTTAAAGAAATGCTGGAAACAATGGAGTACTGGGCAGCTGGTCATAGTCTTGGGACTCTTCAGAAGAATAATCCCATTAATCCATCACCAGGGATCTAACCCAGCTTCTTCACATTGCGAGATGAGCTCGTAGACCATTGAACCACTGGAATGGAAACCCATGGCCTGTGAATTTCAACTTTTGTCAATTCGCAATTTTTAGCGCCATTCAGAATTTTTACTACGAAACAATTATCAATAAAGCTGACAATTTAAAAATTCTGCAGTATACTTAAGTGTTTGTCAGCCCACAGGAAACATCCTCTGATATATTTTCCTTATATCCTACATCGTAATGTGCATATAATTAGTGAAAACTACGCAAATAAGTAAATCTCTCTAGCACGAATTGAAAAAGTTGAAATTCACAGGTCACTAACTTCCCGCCTAGGTGGCTGAGTGGTCGATAACCTAGCCTCATGACAAGGAGGTCCTGGGTTCAACCACCGGCCACGATGTTGTGGCTGTGTACTGACGAAAAGTCTCGAACTAGGATGTAACAGCTGTCCAGTACACTTCGGTTTCCAGTGGTTCTCCACTTGATATGAGTGCGTGATCGGACTATATTTTTAAATATTTATATTTCAGAGAGTGAGGTAAAAGATATCATTCAACAATTTTAAAGTAGATAAGTGCTCCATTAATATATGTATGCAACTGATGACTTGGACCAGACTTATTCTTTAAGACTGTAAATTAGCGTGTGATAAATTCGTACTTATGAACTCTAGCACTTTAAAACCCATAAATTATATATATATATATATGCTGTAGCACTATCTTATATATTTTCCCCAATTCGAATGCATTCATCTTAAAGAAAGCCGGATTTGTTTTTTATTCACACTGAAACAAATATGAAGTAAACTTACACCAACCAGAGGAGCATTTGAAACGAATGAGTATTTCATAGTTGTTAGCGAGAGGTAGAAGTCTAAAGAGTAGAACTTAGAAACCATTTAGTAATGGATGTTGAGAAAGTAACTTAGTGGCAACACACTCAACTTGGGAATCTGGCAGACGCTTACAACGTCTTCACTAAGCACTGATGACGAATTCTAAATTAAAAGCCAACACTTCTCTAAGTGTCTTTAGTTTTCATTAGTTCTTTGGCTGATTCTGATATGTGGTGCAAATTTACCTTGAGCTAATCAACTTTGCACAAATCCAAAACTTTATTTGCTTGATCACCCCTTCATTTTAGTTACAGCTTATCACTTTAAATATGCACACTACTTCATTTGACCATGTCTGTTTATCTATATGTAGGAAGAATTGAATTTTATCCCTTTATTTTTGCAAACTGACTCAACTGTAAAACCCAGACCAATGCAGCTGAGAGATTGCCTGTTAATAGTTCATGAATTATGGTTAACGAGAAAAAGTGAGAAAGATTTCATTAAGGTGAGAAATTAGTTTTCATTCTTTATTTTATTGGAGCTCTTTGTATTTATTGTGAGTTGAAATTACTTAACCTGTGAAATTATACAAAAAATCATACATTTTCCAGTACTATTAAGGTAACTGGTTTCCTGAATTTTCGCTCATTGATATGACACTACTGAATATAATAAGTAGTTCGACGCAATTATGTAATATCAACGACAACTTCAAATACTGCAAATCATGCAATACCTCATGCTTACATGATATGTAATCAGGTAATCATCATAAAATCATATGAAATCATCATCTGCCAATTCCTGAGATGGCGTGATCACTTCTCAATGCCTTCTTCGTTGAGCCTTCAACCTGTTGCATACTTTTGGTCACGGCAGAAGTTAGGTTTCGTGTGCCAATGTTACGAGTCCCAGTGGCTTAATGGTCTACACGCTAGCCCTTAGGTCGGAAGGTCCTCGGTTCGAACCCAGGTGGGTGCATACTCCTGAGGAATTCCAAACTAGGACTGAGGGAACAGCTGTCTCTTACTCCAAGCCAGTTTTCCAATGGTTCTCCAACTGATGTCAGCTCATGATGAAATCCTCCGACAAACAATCACTTTTGCAATCTTTAGGTTTGTAGTGAAGCATATTTTTGGCTTTTTGGATAATTACAAGCCAGACTGCATAATAGGTCCTACAGATGACGGAGTTTAATCTCTGTCTCAAAATCTTACTGTTTATTCACCCGTTGTATGGTAATTTGATGAAGACATCTTTCTTAGGGGAGGAATAGATTGTAGGTTTTAGGACTAACTGACATCTACATCGGTTTAAAAATTTTATTGGATATCCATCTTCAATTATCCCTATACCAAAACCATCTTCTGGTTCTGATATTAAATTTCGGCCTATTGCAATTACTTCCCCCTTTTTAAAATTGATGGAAAAATTACTTTTACTTCGTCTTGAACCCGCTTTGAAACCTTTTAATGATCCTAAACAATTTGCATACAAACATGGTAGAAGTACCTTGGATGCTGCGGTTGTCTTATATCACAATGTTGTCTCTTGTTTAGACAAAGGTGCTAAATATGTTCGTAGTGCTTTCTTAGACTACACATCTGCTTTTGACTCTGTACCTAGGGGCCTTTTGCTAAATAAGCTATCGTTGACACAAACAGGATCCTGGGCTAAGAGTTGGTTGCATTCCTATTTTTCTGATAGAATGCAGTATACTGTATATAACGGCAAATCTTCTTCTACCTCGCTTACAAAATCCGGTGTTCCACAAGGTGCTGTCCTCTCTCCTTTTCTTTTTTCTTTCTTCCTACATGACCTGCCTCATTCAAACGAAACTAACTTTGTCAAATATGCAGATGATCTGACTGTATCACTGCCTATCACTTCCGAGTCTGACAGCTCCAAACTTAATAGCTTTCTGTTGGACATCAACAACTGGTCCAAGTCAAATGGTCTTATATTAAATCCTTCCAAATGTCAGGCACTTGACTTTACTTTCAAGCATCGACGTGACTTACTTGAACTAGTTAGCTCTCATGATCCCTGTAGCATAGATGGCACGGAAATTGAAACCAAATCAAGCATTAAATACCTTGGATTAGTTCTTTCCTCTGACCTTTCATGGTCATCCCATATCTTATCTATCTCTAAGAAAATGTTTCGTCTTACCTTCTACATTAAAAAGTTAAGACAATCAGGTATCAACCAACCTTTAGTTTTGCAATTTTTAAACTCCTGTATTTTACCTATTGTACTCTATTGCTCTCCATTAATCTTTCCTGGGCTGCTCAAAAAAGATTATATCATATTACGAAGAGTATTAAATGCTGTGAGTAGAGCTTGTGGTCTGCCACTGCATGAGCTCGCTAATACTATAGTCGAGAGGCATATAAATTCCTGTACGAAATGGGCAAAGGCTATAATGTCAGACCCTCTGCACCCCCTTTATTCACACCTGTCCCCTTGTATCTCATCAGGTAGGACGAGAAGTCAATATAAAAAGTTATATGCTCGTACCACTAAGTATAGAAATTCTACAATACCCTATTTAGCCCGTACTTTATGTGACGAAGACTCTGTTAGACGTGAAACTTACAAGTTACTATGTAATTAGCACAGTAAATCGACCCTTTCATCGTTCATCTTTCTGTATTTTATGGTGTCACACTTTCTATCGTTTAATTGTTACTCTGCTATTTTATTTTAGTTGGTATTACTATTATTACTACAATTTTGTACTTTATGCATATTTTTCTCCGTATGGCATACAGTATTTTGCTATGTAGCTGCTATAACAATCGTTTTATTACTGTTATGTAATGTGTATTTTTAATTTTTTTTGTCGTTTTTGAGTAAATTAGATGCAATATTGTACTGAATGCTGAAAATTCCTTGCTGTATCATGAGTACTGTTTTTGGAATAAAGCAAAAAAAATTTATTTATTTTTAATTAATTTTTCATTTATAACAAGCGTATCCATCAATATTTAATTTTCCTTCTCTATAACATCAGCCGTACAAATACGCTGAATCCTCTTAAATAAGCATTTCACCAAAAATTTTAAAGATTGGTGAGTGAACAAAATAATATTTTTGCGACAATTTCATCATCAAGTTCTACATATGTCTGACAATAATGTTTAAGGAAATATTGTTATTAACAACATCAGTGCTTTGAATTACATTAAGTCAGTAGTATCCACAGATTACATTTCAAAATATCAGTAACTGAGAGATAATGTGTATTAATATAACACTAAACTGGTTAGCAGATAAATTAAGGTAAGTAACACAATTTATGAATTCTTAGGTTCGACTGCGTGCCAGGGTAGTAATAGTGACTGAACCTGCTTATTTTGCAAACAGAGCTCTAGTTGTTTTTGGCGAATTGCAATGGCCTCTGCTGTTTTGAGTGTTTGGTAACTAAAGGCCTTTGTTGATTTATTTGATACGTGGTGGATGGTAGAGGAAGATTCTTCAATGTTACCTTTGTGGCCTGTTTGCGTGCGGTGATCAAATATATTACTGTTAACGGTTTTAACAACACTTATTTAACCCCTCTGGTAGGTGTTCCCGAGCATTAAAAATTAGGTTCCCAGAGCAACAGTCAATATAAGTGACTCCAAAGGAGTGGTTGGATTAGTAGACACAATTAGAGATGTCTTGCCTAGGTACTTCAACTTTCAGCTTTGGAATCATAACCACTTGTGTGGAAAATGCAAGCTGCAGCGTTCCGGTATTAAACGTTCCTTGATCGATTTTCCCAACTAGTTGGTTATTATCTTTCACACCATAAGTTACTAGTTATTCATGTAAGGCGTTTTGCGTAGTTACCAACCAGTAATAAGGATAAAGTGATACGAACTGCTGAAGGAATATTTATTCATTCAACAACGCTGAACAGTGCTGCTATACGGATCAGAGAATTGGAGCGTCACGAATGCCAATTCGAAAAAACTACATACCTTCACCAACACCTGTCTTTGCTCAGTACTCAAGAGTAGATGGCCGGTCAGAAAAGATCAGCAACATTGATGGGTCTCTGGGAGTGAACCAACCGGGAACCAATTGTGAAATAAATATGCAGGAAGAAATGAGAAAACCATCGAATGACAGGCAACTGTTCGAGTGGAAGCCAAGTGGAAAGTGGCTAGGTGGTCGTCCAAGGGTGATATGGAGGAGGTCATGTAAAGAGGAGATGAAAGCATGTAGGCAGACATGGAGCCAGGTGATAACTTTGTCAGAGGACCGAACGAAATGGAGACGTGCGGCTGAAGCCCTATGTTCCTCTAAGAACTAAAGGAAACAATCATAATAATAACGCTGAGAATATTACAATATACGCTGAACAAAAGCATTATTATCTCTACAATCCATATACGACACCACTACTATTACCAAATATATCATCAGTGATGTAGTCATACTTTTATTACAAAATATCACGACCAATATATCAAAAACGTCAGTATTGTGACAAATATAGGGAATATTTTAGTCCGCTGTTAAAATAAGACTATTTTCCAATGTCTTATAAATTAGTATCATTCTGTGATGATCATTCTTTTAAAATAAACATCAGAGATAAGAAGCAATAAAAGGGTAGTCTAAATAATAAGTCACTTCAAAAATGGTACTAAAATCTCTCTTTGTAGCGTAATGATATTTTGGCGGCCAAATAATTTCTCTCTATTCGATAGTCGAATCATTTGTGCAGCAGCATGATTCCCGGCCAGTTCTCGCCTGCTTTTAGTTACTTTTACAATGAATATTTTGTGCGCATACAGGGAATTCTTCAAAGTTTTCAACCAGGATGTTATAACTAGGCGGTATCTAACCAACAGACGAATGCTGATAGCTGTAAAAAATGAATGAAGGCATGTATACCTTGCTCTCCTCACATAACCCTTACCGCTTAACCCCAATATTACTCGCTTCAGTGTATTACTCAATACAGGATAGGGAATGCAAACATAGTTAACAGCTTCACATCTTTCACTTCCAACCACCATGTCTCATAGCTAAAAAGGAGAACACTGAGAGCTACTGTGAATTTCAATAGTCTTTGATCAGAAACTGGATATTACAACTTTCCAAATAGGTGGGGTGTTCACACCGTATCTTTAAACTAGGAGTGGGTACAGACCAGTCCTTCAGTATCAGATGACACCTGGCAGAGGCGAATCACACGTCAAACATCCATTCATTGGAATACTTATTCTCTCGTTATGATCAATATGTGATAAGAAACTGCTTCGAACTCAAATGATCCTGTGAAAATTAAAATATATGCAACTGTACAGTGAGATTTTTCTGAAATATTTTAATCAAGAAACTGATCAAAATGTATAGAAAAGTATAACTTCATTTCCAAGGAGGGGGTTCTCGACCAGCTGTTGTATTCTTGTTGGGAACATCATTCTACTACATCTTAATTAGATTTAAATCATTGATTTGTCATATGAGTGGTAAACATATCTGTGAAACATTAAAAAAATTAGATTATATTCGCTGATACAGTTAAAGTGAGTTTTTAATGACTGAATGCAGATGGCATGTTGTCAGGCTATTCAAATGTATTAGAATAAATCTGTTCGAATACTATTTTACTCATAATCCTAAATCTTTTGAATAACTTAGCAACATGTCGTTTAGTGTCAATTTTTTTTAAATTCCATAAAAGAGATTGAATGTATTACTCTCCTTTTCCTCAGCGTTTATTTATATTTTCTAAAAAATCTTAAAATTTTATGCATCTTAAAGGAACAATCATTAGGACAACGAAGACGTTTACTTACGTCTAGACGACTTTCACAGGTAAAAACAAAAAATATAAAACTAAAAAAACCACACGCTAATTAAGCACCCTGCACTAGAACATGTCTTCTATGCACTTAATCACCCAGACACTATGCACAGCCAATAAATTAGTTTTCATTTATACAAAGAATCACGTTCTGTACACAGAACAGAGTGAGTGTTATCATGCTTTAACAATAGTGTAACCAAACAGTTAACTTTTAGTTGCTTTCCTTGTTGTAAGATCTGAGCTCGCGTTAACAGATTGTGATTAATAAGTGGTTTAAACCCATAGGTAGGTATGAGTTAAATACAGTGACTTATTTGTAGCCTATTCTCTTTATTGTCCAAAACTAATGAACTTTGAGTTCGTGTAGAAGAGTTTTTAAATAGCTGGAAAACTATCTGTGTAGTTGTTTTTGATTTATTTTGCCAAGGTTTTGCAGATGATGTTAATCATTGATGAATAATATCTTCAAGTCAATCACCCCAGATGAATAAGTTCAATAAACCTGAAGTATAAAAAAATAACATACGATACAACAGATTCTTAGCTCCATAGCTATTAATTACCATAATATTATGAACACACAGATATATAAAGTGTCAGTAAAGAACATAAAAATTTTCAGAACCAAATGTTTCACTATCATATTCTAAAATAATGTTCTGAAATTAACACAGGAAATAAATCATTCGCTAAGTACAGATCTTCTAGGATCTATTCGTCGGTTTAACGTATTCTCTTATATTCACTCCACTGAGTATGTCACGCAATCCAGTTAACCACAGTTAACCATATTATAAGTAACAGTAAGCAGTCATACCTTACTCCTGTCTTCAATTGAAACGCTTCACTAAGCCTTCAGATAACAATCACTTGGTATGCCGCATCATCACGTAGCAGCTGAATGATGTTCATAAGTCTTCGTGGTACTGTGAAATAAGAGACAACATAGATGTAACTTTTACTGCTATTCCATTTCAACAATAGAATGAGATTGGCAGGCAGCTGTAGTTTGATATAAGCATCGTAGTTTCAAGCAATTAGCAACGAAAATCTCAGGTGCCCTTCAGGTGAGTGCCTTCTCTAACAAGATATTCCAAACTACTCCTAAATTTTTCATATCAGTCAATAACGTATCTTTGGGGTGATATTCACATTTCAGAAATCATATATGTAGATAAAGTCGTTGGATTGAGAGTGGAATCTAAATGAGTGTAAACAAAATAGAAATTGTGAGAGAATATATAATAATGGTGGCATAATCCAATCGCCACAGTGATAAGGAATCAAGCCTAATGACTCAGACACAGGGTTGATTTATAGGTGAAGAAATGTTAGCCTGTGGTTAATAACATGATGATATCTCATAATATCTACATATTTCATTTGCGTCGGTGGCACAGATGTTAGGACTCTCGTCGACAATGCAAATGGTCTGGGGTTCGATTCCCTGCCGGCGCACACCTAATATCAATGGTCGGCCTGCAAAATTTGGGCTACTATTATCACATGCTGAAAATTCCATACTCATACCAAAAATACTGTGTGGAATCAAGCTATAATAAAAAAATGTAAATAAAGTCCGAACGGTCATAAATAACACACATGATAAGCACAAATTTTGTTACATTTACGGTCTAACAAATCAATAAGATAAATTCTTTCCTTTCTATCCTGAACTCAATTCTGGTTAATACTAAAGCTGAATGTCTAAGATAATGCAGCCATCCAGACGTGATCACTTCTTCATAAAACACATGACTATGAAAGTCAGAAAGAAATGCTTTGCGTCTGAGAAAAAAAGCCACTCGATATGCGATAGCAGTTTAGAAGTGACGTGTCACATGGAGGGACAGTTGGCAAATCAGTCAATTCAGAGACCTTTAATTAAATGTCGATAAATTACAGCTCATATATTTTACACGGCCAGTTATGATATCGAATCTGACAGATGATGTGTCTAGGCTAGCCACCTCTTCATGTTTCTGTTAATTCGACTCTTCATGGAACTCCACTTATATCGGTCGTTTTCTTATGAACATGACATTTCGTGATACAGATACACCTAACAATGTGACTAAATGAGGGTGTGGTCAAAAGCATTAGGAGTTAGATATTTGATCTACTGCTCCGAAAAGACCATAAAGCCAGCCATGAAGAGTCACTTCTTTATTGTGTATCTTTTGCTGAAAAAGCGTTCACCGAATACTCCAGACAGCGGAAGCCATAGTAGTGGTGCTGTCTTACGTAATGTTCAACCAGCTCCCAAATTATTTCACGGTTTATACTGTTTAAGGCCTCTATATAGTCAGTGAAGTTGAAGTAAAAAGATAACTATCATTCCATGTTCTGTCCTATAATGCTATAATCTGATTCCTGAATAATTTGGTTTTTCTATTTCCAACCAGTTTCGGGGGGAGTTTTGCATCTATAGCATCTTTTAGTCTTTCCAAGATAATCCATCTACATTACACTCATATATATATATATATAAAGGCCCACCCTGTAGGCCTCACAACAGCTAATGAGAGCTGAGCTGGAAAGATTAGAAGAAGCCGGCGGAAAACCCCAATCAGCTCCTGAAGAGGCACTACAGCCCAAAAAACCAGCTCCTTCAAAGTCATCTTCGGAAGTTGCACCACTGCGAAAAATACCAAGAACAAAGACACCTGTAACACCACTCAAATTCCCTACTGCTATGACTTATTTCCAGAAGGATGACCTTGTCTACACTGGAGATTATCGCCCGAAAAGAGCGAAATGGATCAAAGCTATACGTGGAACAGTAATTTATGAAGTGGAAGGGGAGAATGAAACATAACCAATTACGACACCGCCATGTGACGTCATCAAAACCTGAGACACCGCTAGACATCTTAATTGATACATTCACACTAGCTCTAGTGGATAACAAGGTGAAAAAGTGTGAGTCACAGAACAAGAAGGAGTATCAGCCCAACAGGTAATCCAGTCGCAAGAGATCCCAGACGGTACTTTTCAAAGTTGATCCAAAGAAGAAGAGGTACTAATTTTATTGTTCACTTTCATGTTCTTTTCTCTGATAATGGAGGTGATGTATAGACCTAGTTTTCTGCATGTACTTTTACATGTTTGGTTTTATTTCTTTCATCCCACTTATGATCTTTGAAATCCTATTGGTTGTTGATTGTTTTAATTAGTAAATGTAGTCAGTGTCTCTCAGGATCATTTAAAGCATATATATATGTATATATATACTCAAGCGTTGTCAATCATTTTCAATGTTGATACGAGGTAGTAAAGCTCTTCACATTAACAGTCAGACTTCTCTGCTTGTCTTCTTGTGTCGTGTTTTCGGTGGTATAGTATCGCGTTGTTGTTGTTGTTGCTAGCAGAGATTAGAACAATGGGCTCGCGAACCGACAAGGTAGGAAGGTGACTTTAAACTATAGGGTCCCAGGGATGCGAACTCTCCAGTGACCTGGAAGGCATGCTAGTCGTAGGATAACTAGACATATCATTATTATAGCGCCAATATGAACACACTTCTTCCACTAAGGAGAAAATTTCACCCAGATCACATTTTTGAGTACTGTTTGGACAATGTGTTAATAGTTCGTTAGGGTTAGTATTAAGGTTAAGGTAGGTATTACGGTTAGGGTTAAGATTAGATTTATAATTAGGATTAAGGTTGGGATAAGGGTTATAATTAGGGTTACGATTAAGGATAAGTTTGGAGTTGGTGTTATTTGGTTTAATTTGTATAATAATTCGCATTTTCTTGGTAAGTAGTTGTCGATCCTCTTATTGAAAACCGTAGCAATTCAACCGAGGGCTTTTTGGAAGACTAGAAAACACAATAAAAGCGATACACTGGTCTCAGAAAAAGGTCATCTTAAATCACCTAGGTGAACAGATGCACAGAAACTGGTCTGACATAAACTGCAGTTCCTCATTATAAGTAGGACGTATTTTTAAGCTATGTAAGAGAAAAATACCATTTTCAACGTGTTATCATGCATTTTTTGTAAACAAAAGTCACTTTTTGTGTAAAAGTCACTTATTTTAATGGTTGGTCAATTCAAGGTCACTTGTGCCTTCACATCCCTTGGGACCTTATACTTTAACTTTGACTGTAGGAGATTCGTTCGCAAACTACAACGTGTACTAACAGTGATATCAAAATTGGCGACGGGTACACCAATCTTGTCTCAATAATCTAAAATCATTTAGACAGACTAAATTATCATCACATAGATCGTGCGGACAATTTTCTGACAGAATTATAATCCCTGTATCCCTGTAGGACATGAGAAATTGTGGGCAGTTAACTTTATCGCGCAGTGGGCAACAGTGTGTACTCATAATCTCAGGAGCAGGCATTTAGTGTACAGAAATGCGTATTAAAGCACGTTGCCAGCCGGAATGATGATTTTCCTTAGGTTTAGTGGAAATTTGCGAGTCCTCAGATTCTAAACATTTTAGATATTCGCAGATGTAAACAATAAGACTGGGGGTCCTATATTAATAGGTTATAAAACGGGAACACGAGAAGTTAGGTGGATTTGATACATCAGTAACAACTACACAGATAGTGTGAATCCTGTTAAGATTTTGGAATCCATTATTTTAATTCAATAATGAAATCACCACGGGTCGATCAGTAATAAGGGACCAGATTGGTGACCTAAAACATTGAGCTCATTTGAGGTATTTGACGGTATGAGAAGGAACTTTTCATTTGAAAGGTTCTTCTTTGTCAGTGATCGATGTCAACTGGAGAAACAGTTTGACAAGAAAATGGTTGGTTTTAAACTCATCAGATAGGCGTAGTCTTAGGGCTGGTGGAATCCACAAAGCTCATTTCGTCGTTCATAGGAATCAGCTAGTAAGTAACTAGATATAGATAAATATGGATTCGCGGGAAGTAATGGTGTTCCCAATGAGACTCGAGCGCACACTTATCGTTTCAAACTCCAAGTTATTATCCACTAGACCACTTGGGCCGCAACAACCACCTTTTATGCAACGT